CTAACTTTGTAACAATTCTTTACTCGAATATTTTACAAAGGCGTGTATCTTTTCGAAAAGATGTTTCAAAATGTTTTGAGAGTTTGTTTGAAAGTGTTGTGGATTGTGGTTTTTTGAAAAGAAGGCAAGTGTTTTTGCAAGTTGATCTCAAGTAACTAAGAGTTTTATCTACCCTATTATACTCAAAGGTTTTTGTTATGTTTTAACCCTTTTTAACAATTTTGTTCCACCATTGAATTTGGTGGACAATCTTGCGTTTAGGAAGTTTATTCGGGACGGGCGCGGGTCGTCATATGGGCCATGAATGCAATGGTGCCAAGTGTCTTTGGCAATTTGCTTTGAAGGGACTATGATCATTCCGTTTAGGCAACATTTTGAGGGACTTATGATCATTTTTATTTTGTTTTGCCAAAGATACTCGACGTGCAAGCATGGCCCATTTTGGAAGGCAACATGTGGGATTACCCTAGAGGGTGCAAGTGTGATTGTGTATTGATTACATGTATTTGTCTTGTATTAGGTTATCTAGCGTTTGATTTTATGTACATGCAAACCCTAGGTCTAACCATGGTATAATTGGAAAACTGTAAATTGCGGAAATGTAAAATCTACGCTATTACAAAATAGCATCCGGGAGTGGGGGTACAAGTGTATGAATGGGGATGAGGCTTATAGTATCCAATAAGTTACAACCAAATCGAATTTGCGATCAAATGTAAATATCGAATATACAAATATAAGATAAACAAATGTGTATAGGGCAATGTGAATGTATCTGTATTGTGTAAGTGTATAATGTGAAATGTATTGTAAGTGTACAAGTATATGAGTATGTGATTTATTTACAGGTGCGGAATGTGAAATTAATGAAGATTAGGGTATTTATTTAACCTAAAGAATAATTAAGCGTTTATTTAATTATTGATCTGGTATTTCTTTTAATATGCACAAAAAGAAAATGTTTTAATTGTATGTTCAAGTTTTAATTAAAAAATGTACCCTTGTTTATTATATACAAAAATGCTTTAATTAAGTGTTTAAGAGTTTAATATTAAAAAAACGTATTTTATCTATTATGTACAAATGTATCTTTATTTATTATAAAAAGTATATTTAAATAAATATCAAGAAACAAAGTGGAAAAAAGTATTTTCAATTATATGATAAAAAATGTATCTTTATTTACAAAATATATTTCAATTAAATATCAAGAAATGAATTATGTATGTTTAAAAAATGTATTTTTTAATTGTTATGTACAAATTAAATAAAAGAAAGGTATTATCTTTTTAAGAAGAATTTAATGTTCTATGTATAAAAAAGAAAAAATAGAGAAAATGTAAGTTATTTATGGATCAAAATATGTAGAAATAATATTAGTAAAAAAAGGGGTTTATGTTAGTTAACTTCTCAAAAAAATGATGTGTTAAAAAACAGTTAAATGAGAGCAATGGGCCTTAAGCCTGTAGAATGGGGCGAGGCCCACGACGCTGAAACAAGCTTTAGGGTTTCGTTTGTATTCTCGTTTGAATGCTCAGGGTTAGGTGAGGCAGAAGCGCCGCTCGTCATTCATCCTCGTCGCCTTTGTTCGTCTTTCTCATGCCCAAATGCTCCTGAGTCTCGCTCGCTCAGGCCACCAACGCCATCAACACCTTCTCTCCAAGGTTAAGCGCGTGACAATTCATTCAAGGTTTAAATTTCGTTTTTTATCTCTTTGGTTTTTTAGGGTTTCAATAATTTGTCTTGCATGCTTAGCTTTGTGTCATGGATTCTGATTATTCGTTCTTTTTTGTTTGAGGGACGAGGAGAAAGATAAAACGAGTTACCTTCGTTGGAGGAGGTGATTAGGAGGCGTTTGGTGGGCCTTTGGCGATGGAGGGACGGTGAAGACGCTAGCTTGCTTTGAGACCCTGGTATCTTTGTATATTTCTTTTGTTTATTGGGTTTAATGATGAGTTGCACTGAAAAACCCTCTTAAAAAGATTCACTTCTTTATCTCTTCTCTTTGCCTTTGAACTGCTGGTTGCCTTAAACGCTTGCTTTCGAATGTGTTTGAATATGCTTGCTTCTGTATCTTCTTTGTTGCCTAATGATGAATCTAGGATTCTGAAGGACTCGTGGGTTTGGGAATATAGTATGCTTTGATGTTACCTTCTTTTTGAAAATGTTTGTTGCCTACTGATTTTCCTGCTGAGATGCTTCTGTTGGTTATGAGTTGGATACTTTTGCTCAATGATCCTTTTTCACTGAGGGACTTGAGGGTTTTGACAGGGTTTGATGTTTCAGATTTGAGGTTTAGCAGGTACAATGGTTGATGCAGGTTATGGTGTTGGGAGGTTATACTGGTTATGGTGTTGGGAGGTTATACTGTGGTTGGTTTCTGAGCTTTAGCAGGTTAATGGTTGTTTGACAGGGGTTCAGCAGGTTTGTACATTGGTATGGCTTATTGCAGGTTCAAGTTTGACAGTATGGTGGGTTTTTGTATGGTTCAGGCCAGTTTGTACTTGTAGTGTTAGGCTTTTGAGGTTATGTGTTTGTAGTGGTTCAGCAGGTTTTAGGTTGGGCTTCAGGTTTGCCTCATATTTTAGCAGGTTTTGGTGTTAGAGGTTATATTGTGGTTCAGACAGGTTGTGCTTCAGTATGTGGTATATTTGCATATGCAGGTTGTGTATGAACTTGAGCAGGTTTTTCTATGCTTCAGGTTTATCAGTTTGTAGGTTTTCTTTTTTTACTTTTGTGAGAAAATCCTGCCTCTTCTGAACTGTGTTTTTTCTTTTTGTATATCTTTCTCTCTATCTATCCTGCCTATCCTGCCTAAGCCTGAAAACCTGCCTCTATCTCTCTTCTTTCTTTCTCTTTGTACAGTTAAAAGAATTTTTAAATGTTTTTTACTGTACTTTCTGAAGGGGCCACCCTTGTTGGGAAATGATGAAAGGAAATGTATGCATATTTTTTTATCTTTCTTTGGCAGCTTGGGTAGATTTTGTATTTTCCATATCTTTGCCAAATCTTCTTTTGACAGCTTGGGTAGATTTCTTGACATTTTTGACAGTAAGTTTGTACCTTTGGCTTTTGATAGAAAGTGGGAGTTTGGATTTTAGTTGGGTTTGAACTTGGAGTTGGAGATTGAGTTTTTGACATTTGAACTTATGCATTTTTGGTATTTTGCATTCATGATTTAAATAAGATTCTTCCCTCTTTGTGAACCGGGAGAAATCCCGTGATTTGCAGAGAGGGTTAACTGATCCCAATCAGTGGCCCCTAGTGATGATTGCAAATTTTATCTGTCTTTTCAATTTAACTGCTTTTTGACTTTTCTCTTTTCTTTTTGCAGATGAATATTGGAACACCGGAGCGAAGGATAACGGATGAAGACTTGAAGATTAGATAAATAATTAGGACAATCTTTTTATTTAAATTTAAATCAATGTAAAACTATTGTTTGTAATTAAATCATAAACAATAATTGTACAATTAATTTAATAATAAATAAAAGCTTTTATTATCCAATTAATTCTGTTTTCTCTTTATTGTTTATTTATTATTTAAAACTCTTTGAATTAAAATAATTGAAAACTAAATTTCAATCACTTAATTTAGAATAATAAATAATTTAAATAAAACAATGTTTTAGTAATTGACCAATTAAATCTGTCCTTTCCAATATCCAAAGCAAAGCAGCAGTTAACCAAAATAAACTGATCAAGCGCATTCCCTTTTCACTGATTCTTTTGCCAAGCACTGTAATTCCAAACTGTATATTTCTTTTGACTGACTCAAACAAACCAACGTGAATTCAAACCAACTGCCTCCTCTTACTGATTAAATTAAAAACAAAGCGAATTCAACCTAAACCTCGGAATAACTTGCGAAGTGCTGTGGAATTTTAATCTTTCTGAGAATATGCCCATAAAACCTTAATTCCTGGTTAAATGCCAGATAACGTTCGCCTGATCAAAATGCGCCAGAATCAATCACAACCCTAAGCCAACTGTGAAACAATCCAGAGTCCTGAAAATCAGTAAAAACCCTAATTTCGCTTGACTGCCAAGAAAAGTCCGTTTGTCCGATTCTTGAGTCAGTTTGAAAAATCAGGAAACGCCTGAAGTTGAGATTTCTTGTGGAAAAATGCGAGGGCAGATTTTGGGGTACAACAGTAAGTATTTGTTTTCATGTTAGGTGACATTAAAGGTTCTTGGTGTAGCAGGTTTACAAATCTGTAGAATTCTGGTATGGCATAGTTTTCTAAGGGAACATCAGTTCGTGATGCGAACGTCTAAGCCCAGAAAGTTTGCTAAGCAAACTTTACTTGCAAAGCGAACATGTGGTGGTCAAACATATCTTTATGACCATTAAAAGCACCATATACTCAACTGCCGCACCTTTATGTCACGGTTATAGCCTGTCTTTTAATTTTTTTTCTTCATTTTTCTCTTTCTCCAATCCTAGAAAACTCTTCACTTATCTCACTTTTTAAGTCACGCTTTCACTCTCTCACTTTACTCACTTTTGCACACTACCATAATCTCTTGTTCATCTCTGATTTTTGCAGCAAGCAGCGAATATGTTATATCTCTAACTATTATCATTTCCTCTTGTATTTTCTATGTCTTCATTCTTTCTTTCAAATTTTCCAGATCTGTCACTTTTACATGCTATTAATTTTTCTACTAAGATTCTAATGTTTAGATTGATGAGTATCCATGGTTGAAACTTTCATATTCTTTAGCACATGATTTTTAAGATATGCTTGTTGATATGATCTTTGATATTTATGATATGCACATATACTGAAACATACTGCATGAACAAAATATCAGCATCGATGTTTGGTTCAACAGAAAGAGGAAAAGAATCAGGAAACAGGAGTCTGTAAAAAATTATTTTTCTAGAAATCCTAGAGTTTGCTATGAAAACTTTAATTCGCTAAGCGAACATTTCCTGATGCAGAAAAATCAGTATCTTAACAGACTAATTTTCTGGTGTCTTATGACGCAGGTATGGCTCCAAAGAGAAATGAGGCTTCAAAGAAACAGAAAACCTCAGGAGCTGGAACTTCAAGAGAAGAACAAACCTTTGACCAGACAAGATTCATTGGACCAGAACAAGAGGAAAGGTATACGAAACTTGTGGGAAGATCCATCTGGTATGAAAGAATATTTGATATCAACCTTGAAGGAACCTACAAGTCCTTACCTGGTATATGGACCAGTCAAAAATGGGATAAGCTTTTGAATCCCCACCATAAAATTAACACTGAGGTACTTCAGGAATTTTATGCCAATGCCTTTCCCTCAAAAGGAACTGCCTCTTTCTCAACCAAAGTTGGGGGAAGAATGATTTAATTTCATAGGGATGTGACTAATGAATTTTTGGGAACTCCTAGCTTGCAAGAAGGGAAGGTATGTCGTTATCAAGAATCCATTAATAAGACACACAATGAAGTAGTGATATCTAAGAAAATTCTTTTGGAAGGTAGGGAAGTGGAAAGGAATCCATCTGGTACATCAGTTAGATATCGTAGGGAGGATTTAATCCTGAAAGCTCAAGTTATCCTCTTGATTATTCTGCACAATATCCGACCATGAAGCCACACTTCCACCTTCACAATGGATACAACTTAAATTATGTACTTGCTCATGTCAGGTGGCGAGTTGATATCGGTCAAATCATTGCTATCGAAATGAAAAATGTTGCAGAAAGTTGTAAGAAGTTTAGGGCCGGAACCAGAAGTGCTCATCCTCTTGTTTATCCCAGTCTTATCATGGGATTGATCATTGCTTCTCAAGTAAGGAATCCCAATGTAGTGTCATTTATAATCAAAACCAAGGTGAATGACACATATGTGGAGAGGTATTGCTTGGAAAAGAAGAAGAAAAAAAGGCAAGAAGACCAAACGGGGCAGACTTCACCCACTATGAACTATGTTGATTGGGATACGAGACTTCGCCAAGCTTTCAACTATACTTGGGATCAAAATGATTCCAATCATAGGGCTTCTCTTTCTTTACATGATTCTTTTTACAGGTTGCACATTCAGCCATAACGACAGCCCGATGAAAGCCATCATTTCATGACTCTGGAGGAATTTTATATGCACATTGCATGGCCTGGGGACATGCCATTTTATCAGGGGGAGGCAACTGGCCATGAAAATGAGAATGATGATGAGCAACATACTGAAGCAGAAGAAGAAGTAGAGGCTGAAGCAGGAGATGAAGAAGGAACTTCTGGTGGTTCCAAGGCAGCATCTGAAGCTGGTGATAATTATGATGAGTTCATGGGAGGAGAGTAAAGGACAAAGAAATAATGCTAATAGCTCTCCACTTAAACTGAGTGATATTTTAAAACCTTTCAGCATAGTTTATTTTGATTTCAGTTAAATTTTTAATATTATGTTTAGAATTTCAGTTTAGTTTTTTTGTTGTAATCCTTTTTGACAATATTATTACCATAACATCACTTGGTACTTGGTTATTTTAACATTTGGTACACTGAGTTTATGTTGAAAAATCTGTTGTATATTTGTGCTTGCAATTCACTTACTTTCCTCATGAAGGTCTGAAAAGTGTTCAAAGAGAAGAAAAAAAATTTGTTTTCAACAAATTCAACAAAACATGAGTGGTAATGATAAACTTTGGATAAATTTCACAAGGAAAAGGTACATGTTTTAAAAGCTTTGTAGAATGATAGCATGATTTTTGAAATAATAATTTGTGCAAAATCATTTCTTGCTTCAATTTTACAAATACATATTATCTTGCTTGAGTCATATAGCCGATAAACAAGAAAAGCAAGAAGCCTTCCATTGTGCACAAAAAGAAATGAGTACGAATAACTTTGATTGAAACTCGGTTGATTCATGTGGAATCTAACGACTACCTTGCGAACTTTTTGTGGAGCATCAAATCAAGGCTATTACATTTGAGAAAAACCACTTGACGAAATAGCCTTAACATAAACTGGTGAGTTGAGTGAACACTTGAAAAACCAATCCAAATCCAAGAAAACCACTTGAAACAAAGCAAAAACTAGTCTGCTGGAAATTTAAGAATGAACCAAAAGAGTACATGAAAAAAGCCACAAGCTCGTGTAAAATTGGTTTCAAAGCAAAACAGAAAGAAAAACAAATGCTTGAAAAAGAAATAAAGAAAAAGATAAAGTTAGGGAGAGACTATACATCACAAAAGAAATAAATAAAGAATGAAAAAGAAATATGTAGTCTCTCAAAATACTTAAAACCAAAAAGACAATGAGAAGTCAAAAAGAGAATGATTGACAAATCCAAAATATCATTAGCCTTAAGAACAAAAACTCACAAAAGAGCCAAATAGCCTTGAAAAATTATGCTCACAAAGAGATTCAAAAAGGAAATCATCAAGATGGAAACATGAATCAATCAAGATATTGACAAAGTTGTTCATGAGAGTTCAATTTACCTACCACCACAAGTTGCTCCAAAAAGAAATCTTCATCATCTTTATGAAGAATGAGTGATAAGATGATCCAAAGAGAAGAGATATGGTTTGTTTTGTTGATTGCATAAAATAATCTTTGCATAGAAACAGTATTGCATAATCATGCTTTGATTTTATCAGAGTGAAAGAAAAACAATTTTTTTTGCAAATAGCATATTCCATTTGAACCATTTCATCTCAAAGAATTAATTGAAAACATAACATTGTGATTAAAAGGAATTTATTTTGATCTTGATTGAGGACAAGCAAGAAATCAAGTTAGGGGTGAATTTGATAAATGTCAAAAATGCTCAAAAGTCACTCTTGAAAAAAAGCATTTATCGAATTTTCAAAGCACTTATTCATAGAACTATGCACACTCTAGCAAGAAATTTAATACATCTACTAGTTTGTGTTTAAATATGCAGGAAATGATCAAAGGAGGGAAACAAGAACAAAAACACATGTCTTGTTTCGCTACAGTGAGCTTTCAGCGAAGACAGGTTCGCTAAGCGAACTATATTCGTGAAGCAAACTCAACCCAGAAAAAAAAACCAACGATCACTTCCAATGAAGAGAAGCGAAAGCCCGATTCGCTAAGCGAGCCCTGTTTCACTTAGAAAATTCAAGACAGCAGCAAAAAAAGCCCAGTTCACCAAAAATGAGGAGTAGAGAGGCTGTTCGCTTTGCGAGTACAAAGTTCGCTTAGCAAACATTGATTCATTTCTAGAAAGCTTTTCAAAAAACCTTAAGGCTGAAGCAATCAAGTTCGCTAAGCGAGAATAATTCTCTTAGCAAACTCTTGGAGGTCTCTTGAAGGAAGTTTAAAATTCAAACTTAATGCAGAAGAAACAAAGAGTTCGCTTAGTGAACTTAACCTCGCTAAGCAAACTCAGGCGGCCAGGACTAGTATAAAAGCAGACCAAGGGAAATGCTGAAAGATATCAATTTTAGTTTTCATACACAATTTCTAATAGTTGATACAGTTAATCCTGAAAGTTGTGATGGACACTTAGGGGAGGGAATCGAAGAATCAAGCTGGATACGCATCAACTATCGAGGAATCATCGTTAATGCTCATTCATCTCCAACTCTTCCTTTTTGTACAAGCTACCATGAAAATGGCCAACTAAAATCCCTCTCTTGCTAGGGATTGGATTACTCTACCAAAATTGTATGTATGTTTGGCGATTATACTTTTAATATAAGCATGTTGTTATGATTATCGATTCTATCTTGTTTTCATCAATTAAATCTTATGAATTTAAATGTTAATGAAAATTACATTTGGAATCATGAACCAAAGTTAATGAATCACTTAAACACTAATTTCTAGGCATATAATTAGGTTTAAGATCCATTTAAATCCTTGAATAAATACTATTGGTTCTATTAATCGGTTGAGACATCATCAATTAAGCGAACCGACGAAAATCTTGAAACTTCATGTAGACATACATGTTATTTTTGAAAAGTATTTGGAGATAAGAATAAAAACATGGTTATTGATGTTATGCACAATTAATCGATAAATTGCATATGTAAACGGTAGAGGAAAGCCAATCCTTGCAAGATCACTCATTATCTTAAACTTTCATTTACGTTATTTTGTTTAAATTACGTTTTGTTACTTTTATCAAATCAATCTTGTTAGAAACCTTAACTTAAGAAGATATCAATAGTCTAATCGCTAGTAATATCGCTCCAGTATCTGTGGATACAATAACAAAATAATTTCTTTATATTTACTCAACATCAACAAGAGGCATGCAATTAAAAAAACATTGGATAGTTTAAGTTGTTTTTCAAGAATAACTATTTTTTCGGATTATCATCTAAAAAATATATTTGAATGGTTGTATATGGTTAATGAAGGGCATGGAAAAACAAGCAATCCCATATTATATTATAAACTTTTACATATAACACAACGGTTGGAACTTATAACTGCGGTGAAATGTTATTTTTTATGTGCTTTAATTTTGGTTGTAGCTGGGTATCGAACAATGCCCAGTTATGCGTGATTATATATATTTTTCAACCGTTGTTGTATGTCAACCGTTGTTTTATGACTTTTGCGAAGTAGTATGAATTTTGGAAAAGGAAAGATTTCTCATAAAAAGCTCCAATATCTTGCCATCTATAAAAGACTAGTGCCAATGCAAGTGGAAAGCCAGTGTGAAAAGGATGAAGTCATATGTGTGGAGAATAACATTGCTAAATGTGTTTATGGTAGAATGTCAGAACATCATGTTCAACAAATGACCTCTGAAGTAGAGATATGTCTCAACCACTTTCTTGGACATCAAGTAAAGTTACTTAAAGACATTTTTCCTAAAGCCTCAGATACTGATAATCTTAAAAGATTCAAAGGGGGGTGTTAATAGTTGTATGTGTAAAGATGGTTTGTATTCAATTAAAGAGAGGCGTACAAATTCTTTCTCTCTTGACTTCATTACAACTCATATAATAAGAGAAATCTCTTCCTTTTTAAACTCTTATTATAGGCACTCAGTTCTCCCACACAAATTGTTTTATCCCTCTATTGTTCAAACTCGGTCGCTCCTATCCATCACTCTCAAGATAAACTAAAGATTAGTCAAAGAACAAATGAAGCTAATGTATTTGGACCCAAGCCAATCCCAAATATTCACGGGATCAAGATTAATGGTGTTGAAAAAAATGATAAATTCTCTCCAAAGGAGACTAGGGTTTCCACTTCTAGCAGCAAACATGTTGATCAACATGTTATAACCAATGTTGTTCCCCTCCAAATGATTGTTCATGTTGAAATCACTGAGGAAAATAAGAAGAGTGCATTACACCAAAAGCAGAAGAAATATTAAGTAAGTTCATTTGTTAAAGAAACACCTAAACGTACTCTTTGATAAAAAGTCTTAGGTTCCATGAACAAGAAAGATGATTCCCACTCCGTTGAGAATATTAGTATGAATGTTGAAACATGTGTTAAAGATTCATATGGAGAACCCTTGGTTAAACCTCATGATGAACCAAACGTTGAAGCATCTGCTCCAATTTATAGTAAAGCTCTGACTAAGATCACTGAACTTGGAGTGGATATTCCAGCGAATGATGTGTTACAAAAAATAATGCTTTTGATGAGTTGGGAAAAGATCATTATCAGTTCATGGTACCCGAGGATCGAGACAAAAGTAATGGTGAAGCTCGGGAAGATGATGACCAACCATTAGCCATTTTACGGGAGAAGATAGCCATGGATATGTCAAAAGGAACTCAAGATAAAGCTAAATATGTAATGGTTATAAGTGATTACTCTGAGGCAAAGGATGATGGGTTTAGGGTGTTACATATTTGGTATTAGAGACTTTTTGGTTCATTTTGTCTAGGTTTTGTGAACTTGTTTGTACCCTGATATACAACATATGTGTGAAACATTTTCGACACTCTTTTTCCTTTAGTCACTATCCAACAGAAGGCCACAAGTGAGAATGAAATAAGTAGGGGTGGACTTGTCGAGGGTAGTGTGACGTGGGAGTTAGAGGGTCGGATGAGGGAGTCTTATCTAGAGATGTTTTTTTTTGGGTAATTGTCAAGGGGGGAATTCTTTAAGTGAGGGAAAATTGTAACACCATAATTTTCGAGTATTTGGATTTTAGATTTATTTAGTTATTTTTATAAATTTGTTGGTAGAATTATATAATTAAATTAGCATAGAAGTGATGAATTATAATTTAGTATTTAATTAGAATTTAATTATATTTTTAATAATTAAATTAATTAGAAATAACGAGAAAGTGAGCTTTGGGGAGGAATTATAATTTAAATAAAAATTAAGTTGGAAGGGTAATTGAGGATAGTTTTATAATTAATAAAATTAGTAGGGTTTTATTTAAATAAGAGAGGATGATTAGAGTTAGGAGTTTTTTGGTGAGAAAAGCTATCAGCAGAGTTAGAGAAAGCCCTGACAGTGCAAAAAGTAAGAGAAGAGAGAGCCTTCATAGTTGTACCTTGAGATTTTATGCGAATTCGAGATAGGAGAACTATTCATCTTATGGGTGTTTTAATCATGAAGGATAAAGATGATTACTTATCCTCTTCCTTTTTCCACTTTTCTTGTTTCTTCCATTGATGAAGATCTTGGATCTTGAGATGGCTGTGTAAAGCTCTCTAGATCATGGTGACAAAATGTTGTTTTCGTATTTGGTTTATTGTTGATTTTAGTTTTGATTTATATGTATTTATGATATTTTATGTCCATGATTATATGCCTTTCCTTGATTAACATGTAATTGAGTTTGTGACAAATTGATGATAAGTGTTAGAATTAATTTAGATTTTATAATTAATTAGATATTAATTTATATTTAGGATTATCTTTTAGATTGTTTATATATTTGTTAGAAGATATATATCTTAGATCTTCTTATATCTTTGTTAGAAGATATATTTTAGATTTAATTTTGTGTATAAATAGCCTAGTGGAGTAGGTTATTGTAATTCATTGTAAATCCTTATTTTGAAGCTATCAGTAAATATTTATTTTGCCTTTCATCTCTTCTCTGTGCATCAAAAATTGGTATCTAGAGCTCCAGTTCAAAATCCACGGGGAAAAGAAGTATTGTGATTAAGAATTACAATATTTTGATTCTGGGGTTTTTGAGAAACATTGATTTGGGAAACTCTGCGTAAATTTCTCAAAGGTAGAAGATGAACGAGAACAACAACGATATTCATTCCAAGCCTCTAGTATTTGATGGCAAAAACTGGAATTGTTGGAAGATCCAGATGCACGTGTTATTTGGTGCTCAAGATGTGTTAGATCTTGTCACCAATGGCTATGATCTGTTAGAAGCAGATGCAACAGAGGCACAAAAGATAACATAGAAGGCACCGAGGAATAAAGATCAGAAGGCGTTGTTCTACATCCATCAATGTGTGGATGTGAATGTGTTTGAGAAGATTTCTGATTCTGAAATAGCGAAGGCTGCATAGGACACGTTGGTTAGATGTTACGATGGTGACGCATCAATGAAGAAGGTGAAGCTTCAGTCTCTCAGAAATTAATATGAGAATCTCAACATAAAGGACAACGAGAAAAGGTTTCTGAATACATCTCTAGAGTGATTCTGATCACTAATAAGATGAAAGCTTGTGGATAAACTCTGTCTGAACAAGTAATTATTAAGAAGATCTTGAGATCTTTAACTTCTCAGTTTGATTACATTGTGGTAGAAATTGAACATTCCAAAGATCTGAGCACCATGAGAGTTGAAGAGCTGCAAAGTAGTCTAGAAGCGCATGAGTTACGTATGACTGCAAGAACTTCTGAGAGGGAAGTAGAGCATCAGGCTCTGACTGTAACTTCTGGTAAGAAGCATTAGAAGAAGACTTGGTCAGAAGCCAGAAAGAAAACTAATGGTGTTCAAAACTCAGAAGCTTCAAACTCTGATAGGCAGAAGAATGTCCAAAAGAGAAAGGAGAAGTCTGATAAGAAGAATGTTTAGTATTACTGTTGCAAGAGCTTTGGTCACTATGCCAGAGATTGCTAGTCAAACAAAGAAAAGAAGCCAGAAGAAGCAAATATAGCAAGAGGAGAGTCTGATGATGAACATGTGATATTGTTGGCTTCTGAACCTGATGATTTGAATTCATCATAATGGTGGTATATGGACACAGGGTGTTCAAACCATCTTACTGGAAACAAGAAGTGGTTGGTTGATTTTGACTTTGGTAAGAGTACAAATATTAGATGTGCTGATGATAAATACCTCAATGCAGAAGGTATGGGAAATGTCAGAATCATTATAAACAATGGGAAAGCAACGATGATCCATAATGTTTGGTATGTACCTGGCATGAAAAGCAATCTGATGAGTGTGGGACAACTGGTTGAGAAAAGTTTTTCAGTTACCATGAAGGACAATCTTCTGAAGCTGTATGACTGTAATCAGAAGCTGATTATGGAGTCAGAACAGGGAAGGAACAAAATATTCAAGGTGAATGTTAGAACTGTAGACTCTGAATGTCTTAGTGCAATAAGTGTTGTCAAGGAGAGTGAGTTGTGGCACAGAAGATTTGGTCATATGAATTTCAGAAGTTTAGGACATCTGAAATCAAATAATTTGGTACATGGAATTCCTACAATCAAGAAGCCTGAAAAGTCATGCAAGGTGTGCATGGAAGGGAAGCAACCAAGATTACCATTTTCATCAGAAGTAGCTCTAAGAGCAAAGCAAGCCTTGGGAGTAGTACATTCTGATGTGTGCGGTCTGTTTCCAGTAGCATCGACTGGAGGGAATAAATATTTTGTGTCATTTGTTAATGAGTTCATCAGAATGACATGGGTATCTCTCATAAAGTTCAAACACGAGGTGTTTGCTGAATTCAAGAAGTTCAAACTGAAGGCTATGAATCAGAGTGGCCAGACTCTGAAGATTCTTAGAACTGATGGTGGTGGTGAGTATAACTCCACAGAATTCAAAAGTTTTTGTAAGGAGAATGGAATTGAGCATGAGGTTACTTTTCCCTATACTCCTCAACACAATGGTCTTGCTGAAAGAAGAAACTGTACTTTGCTTGATATGGTGAGAAGCATGCTGAAAGAGAAGAAACTTCCTCATACTCTATGGGGAGAAGCTGTTGCAACTGCATGTTATGTGCTCAACAGATGTCCAACGAAAAAATGGAAGGAAATAGTTCCTATTCAGAAGTGGACTAGAGATAAGCAAAGTGTTAGTCATCTGAAGGTGTTTGGTTATGTATGTTATAAACATGTCCCAGAAGCCAGAAGACAGAAGTTGGATGGTAGAAGTAAAGTGATGTTGCTGGTGGGGTACCACAATACAGGTTCGTACAAACTTTGTTGTCCAGAAACTAACAAAGTTGAGTTCAGCAGAGACGTCATTATAGAGGAATCAGAAGTTTGGAATTTGGAAAAGTCTCGTCCTGACTCTGATGAGAGAACTTCTGAAGAAAATTTAGAAATACATGTTTCTGAAGCTGGTAAATGTAAGATCAAGCGCTTACCACTAAGCTAAAAGAAATTGCTTGTAGCCAAGGTGCAACTTTATTTCCATATAGTATGAGCCTTTTCAGGGGCTGCACCTAGTTTACTAAGCGCCCATGGGTGGGATGTTAAGCCCTTCGAATCCCAAGGTTGATGCTGGATATTTTAATCTAACAATCTCCCCCCCAGTGTCAGCCGGGGGGGTTCGAAACCATGACCATGCTCTAATACCACTTGTAGGATCAAGTACTTACCACTGAACTAAAAGCAACTGCTTGTAGTCAAGGTGCAACTTTATTTCCATCATCCAGAGTAAAGCTGTCTAAGGATCTAAATAGCCTATCTCTTGAAGAGTTGGTTAGCTCCCTTAGAAGTCATGAAATAAATCTAGAGGAAGACGAGCCCCAGAAAAGAGGCAAGTTTATCGTTCTACGATCAAGATTAGAAAGGACCAAGTTAGAGAAGTGAAAAGCTTTCCAAGGTGAAGAAGTAAAAGTGCAAAGCTTTCAACTCCAAAAATTACCACTCCCGAAACTCATCTAGAAATCACAACTCAACTGACCTCTATCATTGTCCCTTCTTATGAAAAACAAACATCCTCAGTTACTATCTTAGAGCCCACCACCATTCCAATTATTTGACATCAACCAACATCCTCTTCTCTCACAACCAACATCACTATAGCCCCTATGAATCCTACCAACACCTCTAAGCCACATGATCCTGATTCTCCTCATCGTATCAATAACGTTATCATTACCTATGGGTCTGATGACTCTGATAAAACCAATTATGATAAAACGGATCTGATAATGAAACCATTTGTATTCATCATACCGTTGTTTCTCACCCTCCTAGCCTTAACATTGATGAAATAATATTTAGATTTAAAGACAATGTTGTAATGAGAGTAAAGAAACTCCATGAGGAGTCCATCTCTAGCAATGATTCTTCTTTTGTGAAAACTAGTTGGAACAGGTTTAACAGATTGATGGCGGTTGAGATTCTCATAATCAGAAATCTTGCAATTTAGAATAAAGAAAATTTTATGAAGGATTCAAAAGATAGGTACATGGCTATATAAGCTCAAAAGGTTAGAGAAAAAGAAGTTGTTGAGTAGAAGGCTGTTGAGATTGCCACTGCAGAGAAAGCAGCTAGATTGGTAGCTGAGAAAAATGTAAAATAAATTTCCAAGGGCTTAGACAAAGCTGAAATTTTTTTCCA